AAAATTGGTCAAAATTATTGTCAAAGTTAATTATTTGATCAACTAACGGTCAAACTAACAGAAACCATCTATTTGATCTTCAACTGCGGCATTTTGAAAAGGTTTGGTACCGTGGATTATACAAATGAAATATTTGGTACCCTAGATGACACAAATTAAAGGTTTGGCCAAAGTTCGCAACAAAATGAAATGTTTGGTACGCTGGTGCAATTATTCCTTGTTTTAATTGGGACTCGTCAGACTCTAGCTGTCATTATTTTTTATTCTTTTCTTTTCTTTTCTTTTTTTGTTTAAAGAGATGATATATTTATCATAAATTGACGGTATGGATGATTTGTTCAAGATTTGATCGATTGAGGACTCATATATTCAAATCAAAACAATAAGGATGATCTAGGTAAAATAGACAGACGAAATGGACGTTTTGTAATCATTACCCAATAATTCCACAATCTTTTCTAAGAAACAGCCGTGTCCCATTTTTCCAGTAGAAAGTTGACATTTTCAACTATTGAAGTCAAATCAAACTAATGATCGATTGGAACTTGCACCATTTCTCAAACGTATATCCTAAGCTATTGCCATCATTTGATTAAATTGGCGTGTATAAATCTTTATAACTAACTTATCTCAATTTAGGAAGAAACTATACGCTTGTTTGCGATTCATTTTAACGAGATTTTGGAAAAAAATATTTTTTTTAAATAGTAAAATTTTCAAAAATGTATGGTTAAAAAATGGAAAAAATTGAATTTACGTGTAATATTATTTTATTGAAAAATGTATAATTAATAAGAAGAGAGACAAATAATTAAAATTTTAATGAAGCCCAAATGAGGGCATAATAAATAATTTACTTGCAAATTCATTAAAAAAATATGATTAAAAATGTAGTTTAATTATTTAGTCAAAGGAGGTTTAATTTACAACATTTTGTTTTTTTTCTGATGTAGTCCTGAAACAAACCCCAACATTCTAGAAAGCATGTATAGATATTTATGCACTCATAATAAAAAAATATAGTAAACATATAGAATTTTAAGTAAATCAGTATTAATTAGAGAATGATCAATAAATCCACTTCTTCTTATATAAAAAGGGAAACCCC